CCGGGATTTGGGGGGATTTTCTCCGGGATTTGGGGGGATTTTCTCCGGGATTTGGGGGGATTTTCTCCGGGATTTGGGGGGATTTTATCCGGGATTTGGGGGGAATTTCCCGGGATTTGGGGAATTTCCCGGGATTTGGGGAATTTCCCGGGATTTGGGGAATTTCCCAGGATTTGGGGGGATTTTCTCTGGAATTTGGGGGGATTTCCCGGGATTTGTGTTCGGTACCCGGTGGTTGCCCAGCACGTAGAAGATGTGGCCCAGCAGCACGAGCGAGCACGCCGTCAGGCGGTTCAGGTCCTCCGCGTTCGACATCTTCAGCGTCTCCCGCAAAAAACGCCTGGGAAGAAAAAAAAAACGGGAAAAGCGGGATTTGACAGCTGCCCCGAGCTCCTGGAACAATTCCTGGATGGATCGGAACGGCAGGAGCCGGGATAAACGACCGGAAAGGAATTCTGGGATTTGCTCTGGGGGTTGGGCCGGAGCTGCCTCTGCTGGGAAGGAATGGAATCCCGAGATTCCCGAGGATTCCTTGGGATTGCGGGGAATGAGATCCCCAAGGATTCCTTGGGATTGCAGGGAATGAGATCCCAAGGTTCCTGAAAATTCCTGGGAATGAGATCCCAAGATTCCCGAGGGTTCCTTGGGATTCCTGGGAATGAGATCCCAAGATTCCCGAGGGTTCCTTGGGATTGCGGGGAATGAGATCCCAAGATACCTGAAAATTCCTGGGAATGAGATCCTGAGATTCCCAAAAATTCCTTGGGATTCCTGGGAATGAGATCCCGAGATTCCCGAGGATTCCTTGGGATGGCAAGGAATAAAATGCCCAAGATTCCCAAGGATTCTGCAGGGAATAAGATCCCCAAAATCCCCAAGATTTCAAAGGATCGCAGGAAACGAAACCTCAAGGACTCCCTGGGATTGAAGGGAATAAAGATCCCAAAATTCCCAAGGACTACAGGGAATAACATTCCCAAGATTCCCAGGGATTGCAGGGAATGATTCCCATGGAAAGAGCTCCAACTCCACCGCTCCCCCCCCCCCGGCTCATCCAGGAGAAACCCACAGGAACTGGATGGAAAGGAAACCATTCCCATTCCCATTCCCATCCCAAAA